GAATAATTAACCTTGTCAGACAAATCGCAAGAATCGTTGTGTCACTTTTACGAAAGAGGAGTAATTAACCTCAGTCGTAGATTGGCGTTCGATTTGATAGGTAACCATGATGTCGTACAGAATGCGAAAGACAACGATCACTGCTGCGCAGAACAGGGGGCGTATTGCAAGGTATTCTCCCCAGCAGTGCCACGTGCTAAATTGACGCTTTGGGTGACTGATTTTGCCTGTGCCTTTCCCTTTCGGATGCGCAATCTCCCCTGCACTGCCGAGTCAATCCCCCCGGAGAGACAGCTGCACCCACCCCACCCAGGCGGATACGTGGCACCTGATGAAGCCTGAGCCGCGGCCATGCCAGCAGAAAAGGGTGGCCGCGGCAGAGGCGAGGGTGGCTACCGCGGGGAAGAAGCAGTGGCAGGAGGGATGGATGAAAGCGCTGGGGTTGATGGGCCGGCAAAAATACTTCGTGTGACCAATGGTGTGACTTTTCTTATTTGGTGTTCTCATTGTTTTGGCTTTGGTTTGTGTTGCTTCGGCTTTGTGTTTGGTCTTTTTGAGTACGAGGTCGAGCCTGAACGAGTAGGATTTTATTTTCGAGGTTTTCACAGGATGTTTGGTTGTGAACAGCGATCACAACCTGAGGGAGCAGGTGGTAGAGGAGATTTTATTCTTGGGAAATTGGGATGCAGGGACTTTGAAGATCTCGCAGCAGACGTACGCTGAAGAGTTGGGGATGGAGTTTGGGGTAGAGTACGGGAAGGAAATTCCTCTTCCTGTAGGGTTGAAGCTTTCAGAGTTTGACCAAGATGAAGAAGTGGTATCAAGGCCTTTTCGTGAGCTGATAGGATCATTGATGTGGCTGGCAACGCAAACGAGGCCAGATATCGCGAACGCAGTGAGAGCGGTAGCACGTTACTGTGCTTCTCCCAAAGAGATTCATTGGAGAGCAGGTCTTGGTATTTTGGGGTATGTGGTAAGGACTAGTGACTTGGGTATTTCATTCAGGAGGGGTAGTGTAGCAGGGTTGAGCATGGAGGTGTTCGCAGACGCAGACTATGCAAGTTAGGCTGCCGATAGGAGGTCTGTGTCAGGAGGGTTGGTGATGTGTGGGGGGGGATGTATTTCTTGGTTTTCAAGGACGCAGAAGTACGTTACGTTAAGCACGACAGAGGCGGAGTATGTCTCCCTTGCGGATGTGATGAAGGAAGTGTTGTTTCTGAGGCAAGTATGGCGTTTCATGTTGCCGATATGCCGTGTATTCCGGTGTTCGAGGATAACCACGGGGCTATTCAGTTGGCGCAGAACCCGATTAGCAACAGTAACTCGAAGCACATCGACGTAAGGCACCACTTTATCAGGGATTTGGTATGCAGGAAGGAGATTTCGATTTTTCACGTGGAATCGGCGTATCAACATGCTGACTTCCTCACGAAGGCACTTAACGTGGGAAATTTCGAGTTTCATCGTAACTTCGTAATGAGTATGGATTAATATTTTGATGTTTGGGTTTATTTTGTGTGTGATCAAACAACTAGGGCGGCAACATTTTGCATTTTTGCCTATGGATTTTCTCAATGGATGGTGTTCTAGGCTGGGGGGCAATTAGTTCACTGAAGTTCGAAGAAGTATATCTGATATGACCGGGGATGGGAATTGATGTCTAGCCAGTGAGGCTATTGTTCTGGAGTTGAGTTGACTTTCTGAGTTTATTTTCTTGTGTTTTGGAGTTCTTGAGGATCGAAAAAGACATGGCATGGTCACAAGCAGGGGGGCTGATAGATATACTTGTAGCAATGCCAAGTGGTTGTAGGATTGTGTGGTACGTGGAATGTATTTCCAGGGTGTGCAAGGTACCCCTGTTGTATACTGCGTCGCCCCCTCATGGTGGTGCGTGCACGCGTGCGTGCAGTCCATGT